GCAGCAATGGTGTCTGTCTTGGGGCCTCTTCCCAGGTACTAATGTAGTGTTGGCGTTTCCTTCATTCATAACTTGTTTACCCATTTCTTTACTCCTAGTAACTATCATCATTTTCTCTACGAATAGCAAACTTTTCCACCTTGGAGGTGGCGGTAGGTTTGGCCACTGTACTGGTCTGCTAGTCTAGCAGGTGCCCCCTTCTTCCATTCCCACTCCAACAGGTGAGGCACACAGGTGCAGAGCCCAAGGCTATGTCTGCTGCCAGGGTTTCCAGCTCCAGCCACATCGTGGTGCCAGAGCGTGGTGCAGGCACCCACCCCAGGGGTCCAGAGGGAGCTGTGCAAGTTGGAGACCTCATCTGTCTCTCTCCGCTTTCTGCACTTTCAGCTCCAAGACCTGGGTTCCAAGATGGCTGCAGCAGAAGGGGAAGAAGGGGAGTGTTAGCACAGTTCCAGTGTGTTGCTGCCCTGTAAGGTGGCAGGGCCATGGGGCACCCTCCCTCACAGCTCCCCAGACCCAGCAGGAGAACCTGGTGGGAAGGTAAGCACTTGCCTCGCTTTCCAGAGGAAAGGAGGACCTCCAGCTAGGCAGGTGCTCCACCTGTGTGGCAGAGAAGCTCAGGAGTATATGTGGGCTGTCTTGCGTGATGAGCGCTTGGGAGGCTTCGGTTCTTTTCAAAGGGACTTTGCCGGTGGTGAGCAGAGCAGCTGGTGAGCCCCACCCTTTCACTGGCCCCTTGTGGTCTGCTCTTCACTGGAGTCCACACAACCCTACCATCATTCTCTAGGCTTTTCTTAGTCTAAAAAACACACTATGCTAGCAGCATACCTGGGCATTGGTCACCTGGATTCACAAAGCTCTGATACCTGCTCTTTCAAAGAATTCAGGCCTGGAGGAAAGCAGGCCTGGGAGAGAAGGCGAGGGTGCGCGTGGAGCTTCTGAGTCACAGCAGTTCCTCTTCCCTCCCTTCTGTGTTCCTATGTCTTCTCTCCAGGTCAGTCTCCTCCCCTTTCCATGCCAGGTCCGCTTCTCCCCCAGTGAGACTCCATGAATGATTTCTCTGCTCACAGACAAGGAACTGCCGTAACTCAGAAACCCCATGAGCACCCTCGCTTCTCTCCCAGGCCGGCTCACAGTTGGCTGTGCCGCCAGCTCCTTGTCGTTGAGCCTCTCCAGGGGAAGTGTGTCCAAATGACACTCAACCATCCGAATCCGTGTGGTAGCTCCTGCCTGGCTTCTCTGTAGCACTCCAAGCACCTTCATTTTCCCTGGGCAAGCCAAGCCCAGAGATGAGGCTGTCATGTCCCCAGGGCTGCTAGCTTCTGGCATACTGGCTGGCTCTGTGCAGGGCCTTTCCCTGGGGACTCTGCCTCCCAGCTCTCTGCAGCCTGGGTCTCTGCCACAGGCAGACAGCTGTGCTGCAAGGGCCAGGAGGAGCAGGTCTAGACCCAGCCATCTTGGTGCAGTCTCCCATGCCCACCCATCCCATCACCCACACAGCCACCTGAACTGAGCACGGTGGGGACACCAGGCACCCCCAAGCCTGAAAGGAAGCCCTTCAGAGGCACATGTGGGTTCTGTACCATGTGCTCCTCCCTGCCTCCGGGCTGGTTCCCCATGGCGTCCCTTCTCTAGGCCAGCTTCCGTTGTCCTTCTGCCCCACCAGGAGTGTGCCCGACCATGTCCAGGAGTCTGAAAAGCTCACCTGGCATTTACCCTGTTCCCTGCACTGCTGTGTTTAGACCTTCAGTGAGAGTTGCCTCCCGCCAAGTGCACAGAACACTATCCACAACCCAGCATTCTAGGTGGGTCAGTCGAGGGTTGTTTATGGTGGGTAGAACGCGTAGCCTCATGCTGCCCCAGAGTCAGTCCCAGAGGAAAGGGGCTCCCTGCTCCTGAGTCCTGGCAGCGGATCCTGTGTAAAATATTTCCACTTCATCATGGAGCTCTTCTGTGCAGTGCTGCCCCATTAACGTGTTTCCCTGATGTCCCCCAAGACCCCATGGTGCCTCAGGTTGCAAGATTAGCCCTTCTTCTCTGAGGCAGTTTCAATGCCCCACAGCAGGGCAACTGGTGCCTTTGGGGGAATTCTCTAATCCAGCCTCCTCGTCTGTCTGTCGGGAGATGCACCCAAGCCTTTGCTGGAGCCCCAGTGGCCCTCCACCAAGGGCTGTCCAGTGGAGACCTGTCCAGGCCAGCACTGCAGCTCATGCTCTGCCTTGTGTCTCCCATCACCTCCCTGGTTCTGTTAGAAGTCCCATGAACATTGCTGGATGGGTAGGTCCACATGCCTCCCACTTTCCACTCCAGTGAGATTTGATAACTGCCATGATAGTCACTCCACGGGAAGCATGTTCAAGTACACCAGCTCTGCTGTAAGCTCTGCCTTGATTCCACCAGCTCCACCCTCCCAATAGGGCCTGGCTAGGACTCTGCTCCATCAATGTTCATTTAGGCACCTGACTCTTTGTGGTGTAGTGCTGGAGGCAGAACCCAGGGCCTCCTGCAGGCCAGGCACACACTCCACTGCTGAGCTATGTCCCCAGCCCTTTTCATTTTATTTTGGGACAGGGTATTGCCAAGCTGCCCAGGTTGGCCTGGAACTCGTGAGTCGCTGGGATTACAGGTCCCTCCTGCTGATACCCTGCGTTTCCTTTAGTCAGTTTCTCAGCAACCATGAACATTCCCTCCTCCTCCTCAGAGTCCTACTCTCTCCCGCCTTCTCATTCTCTTGCTACTGACCTAATGTTCTGTCAGCATCTGCAAACTCCAGGAGCTGCCTGAGGCCCAGGTTCCACATGGCTCCTGGAACTGTCCCTGAGGGTGCAGCAGTAAATCAAAGGGCTCCCTGTGACCTGGGTCCTGGTCATGGGGAAGCCAGCCCACAGAGTGGCTCACAGTTGACCAAACTTTGAGACCAAATAGTCTGGACTAAAGTGTTTATTTAGCTGCTGCTGCCATTGGTCAGAGAAGGCCAGGCCTGGAAAAAAGGTCCCACGATGTCCCCAGTGACTGAGTGGCAGCGGGTGGTCTGCTGGGCCTGGGCCAAGTGAGCTCTGATGGAGACTTGGGAAGGAAGATGTGAGGTGTGTACCTGCCACCCTCATAGCGGGTAGATGGGGACAGGAGGGCTGTTGTGAGCGGTTGCTCGCCTCTGAGGTGAGGCTTCCAGGGTCTCAGCACCTGGAGGGGCTGTTGGTGGTGGCTTGACTTCCCTTGCCTCTTCCCCCATTAGCGATTTCTGACCGCAAACTGCGTTTGTGGATTCCAATTATAAACCAAGAGCTGACTGAGCAGTGAGGGGGTTTGTTCTTGGCCCCAGAAGGAGGAGAAGCTGGGAGAAATGATGGCAGGTCAGCTTCCCATGGAAATAGCGGATGGGGGTCCTCCTGGGGGGTGGGGAGAACTGGGCTCTTGTGAGTGAGTAGGAGGAGTACCGGGGATCTTCCCAGGAAGTGCTGGGTCCCTCCTGAAGATAGGACCACCTTCCTCCAAGTCTTATGTGAGCTGGTTGTGGCCAGGGCTGGAATGGGTCAGGCCAGATGGTACTGGCAGGTGGAGGTTTCCCTAGGGCATCTACTACAACAGGGTGGTCACGAGTCCAGGTGAACTGTGGCCCGGGTGGCTCCTCTGTGGCTGGAACTGGTTTTTCCCTGTTCTGTAATGTTTCATAGCATCAGCCGTGTCCCACTGTCCCCAAGGCTGGCTAGGTTGGTGTCTAGTCTGACCAGAACCTGGTTAGCAGGATTTGAGAGGGTTTTTCCTTGCCCTTTGGTCTTTGTAATTAAATTTAGGAAGCATGGGAATTTTCCTAACATGGGGTGAGTCCGCTGGTGCTGCTCATGGTCTCTGTAGGTGGCAAACAGGCCTAGTGGTGGCTCCTACTCATCATCTCCCCAGCTGCTCCTGGGAGCAGTCTCCTGCAGTGCTGAGAGGGTTCAGCCATCAGGCTCCTCTGGGCTGTGTGGACATCAAGACACCACCCAGCCCAACTCTGCATCCATATCAGCCAAGGCTCCGGAAGCTGGTAGTCTTCTGTGACCAAGTCCTGCCCTTCAGGCAATGTCTGTCCTCCTGGTGTAGCTTCTCCTCTGTGGTGGCCTTGAGGCTGGTGGCTGGTTCACACCACCAATTGGGTTTGGTCCAGCCCCAGGGCCCCACCCAGAACTCACTCCTCTCTCATTTTAGTGTTCACAGATGGCAGAAACCAAGGGACAGTGCTTCCCTGTTTCTCGTCGTCTTGCAGTACCTTGTGCCTGGTGGAGCAGCCCCAGGCTCACCAGCTCTAGAGCCCACTGGTAGCTCACTGAAGCCTGTGACCACGGCCCATGAGGCTCCAAATCAAAGTTCCTGTCCCCTAGCCTATCATCCTTCCTCTTCCTGTGCCACACGTCCTGGGAGCCATGTTCTCCACACCTCCCACTTCCCTGACCCCAAATCTGAAGATACAGAAGGAAACATCAGCTCAGACACTTACAGCACAAGCAGACTCTGTGGCCCCAGAGGTAGGAGTTGCTCCCCACCAGGAAGCAACGGGATGCTGCAGCCGACACCAGCGGGGGCCTCTGCTCCAGCGCAGCTCTGCAAGTGGAGGACGGCGTCACCAAAACTGCCCCAGGTACCAGCACAATCCCAGGTTGACCTACCTGTGCCCTGACCCCCCAGCTGTAAGTCTGTCCTCACGACCTCTGGTTGGGGTTGTTGATGTTACAGAGTGCTTCAAGGACTCAGGGGAAGTCCTGCCATCACTGGCATCTTCTGTTCTTTTCACACAGGATGCAGATAAAGAGCTGCAGAGTGAGTGGGCAGGGGCTGCTTCCACGTGCTCAGCCATCTAGGAGCGAGTTTTCTTTCTTTCTTTCTTTCTTTCTTTCTTTTCTTTCTTTCATCAGGGATTGAACTCAGGGGTGCTTAACCACTGAGCAACATTCCCAGCTCTTTTAATGTTTTATTTAGAGTCAGGGTCTCACTGAGTTGCTTAGGGCCTTGCTAAGTTGCCAAACCTGGTTTTGAATTCATGATCCTCCTGTCTCAGCCTTCTGAGCCACTGGGCCTCTGGGATTACAGGCATGCACCACTGCACCTGGGTCACATCTTTGTGAAGCTTATCTTCTTAGGTTTTCATGGAGACTTCATTGAACAGGTGACTGGAGCATGGGCAACCAGGTTGGACACCAAAGGCTTGCTGCTGTGGACTGAGGGAACCCAGCAAGCGTCTGTGTAGCACTCCTTCCTCCAGGCATGGGGCAGGATCCTTCTGGAGTGAGGACCGTGTGATCCAGTGCCAGTAGGGCGGAGAAATGCTTTGCAGCCAGCTCCTACATGAAGGCCAGGCAACTTAGAGTCTCCATGGCACGCCTTGGAGGGAGTTCTGAGCCTTGCCTCATAACACCTAGGGCACAAGGTAGGTGCCTGCAAACCTCTGGCACTGAGCCTTGTTGGGGGTCAGTGAAAAACCTTGCACTGTGTATCCATGTCAGAGCACACTGTGGACTGATCCTGAGCTCCCGGCACCTAACTCATGCCAGTGAAGTCCTCCAGCTCACCTGTCCTCCACGGGCGGCATGACCTCACTTCTGGCAGAGGCTTGGGTGTTGCACACAGGGCAGTCGCCGAGAAGAAGCACAACACGTGAAACAGACCCTGCACAGGCCCAAAAGGACACCCATCTGAGTCTGAGTAGATTGGGATGGCAGCACTGGGAATATGCGCATTGGCCACTCAGACGTTCCTGCTCTAGACAAGTCCCTGGGGGACTAGAAGGTACTGAAGTGTGGGCTGGAAGGCCTCCACGGACGTGGGTCAGACCACGAGGACAGAGCAGAGACAGCACAGTTCAGATCCAGGAAGTAGGCTGGCCCAGCACCCATCAGTCCTTCGGCTGAGAGTCCAGAGAAACCACGACAAGAGACCACTGTTTCAACTGAGGAATGAAAAGTGTGTTAGAGACACAGCCGACTCAGGGTGGCCACTCCTCGGCGTACCAGGAGCAGAACTTCAACCCCGGAGGCCAGTGCCTCACCCAGCGGTGGCCTGGAAGACTGCCCTGACACGAGGTAGCAGAGATGCCCATTCCTTCTGCGTCCACCCAGAGTGCCAGGAGCCCTCACCAGGGCAGGAAGCAGGGGTAAAAACCAAGCCAGGCAGGTTGCAGAGGGGCAAAGGAGCCCTTCCTATTTCTAGAAAATGTGGTGTCTATGTCAGAAGCTCAGGCCACACACCCGACTCCTAGAACTAGTTGTGAGCTTAGGGAGGCCTCAGGGTACAGGCAGCACAGAAACCAGCTTTGCTGTGCACCTCTGAGGAGCAGCCAGCACGGAGTGAGGGGCAGGGCTGCTGCAGCGTCTTCCCCAAGCGAAGCACTCTGGTCAGGTGTCCATCTAAGGGGACGTGCATTGGATCTGCTGAGAGCCGGAGGATGAGGGCAGAGTGCTGAAGGCCTGAGCCCTGAAGGAGCAGAGAGACAAAGACTGCCCGTGATTGGAAGACGGTTCTCCTTGGGAGCATCTACTCAGCACCATAAAGCCCTCAGGACCGTGCTCTTCAGACACTCAGGCTGGCGGAAGGGCAGCAGCTGCAATAGAGAAGTGATCCACAGGATGGAGGCGGAGGACTGCGCCGTGACTGTGGAGGAGACAGACCCACACAGTCCGGATGCTCCATCTCCTGCAGGGCTGCTGAGGGGTCTGTGGAGGAGCGGCAGAGCAGGTGGCCCAGGGCAGAGGGATGGACGTGGTCCAGACCTCCATGGCCTCCCAGGGACAGATTCAACAGAGCAACACAACAGCACAAACCCCCGGGAAAGAAATCAGGACCTGCAGGAAGCAGAGGCCTGCCACAAAGTGGAAAGGACGTCGATAAATAACAGACGGTAAATCGGATTTCGCCAGGAACTTCAAAATGTGTGCTGTGAAACTCAGTTAGAACAAGGAGCAGCTGAACAACAGATGGGGAGAAGTTGTCCTCCAGCCCTGGCCAGTGAGCTACATAAGGGCCCGCTAAGCTGAAAGTCAGGGCAGGTGCCCAGCTGAGGGCTCTCCAGCAGGCGCTGTGGGCACATGCAGGCTGGCAGCCAGCAGCCTCGGTCCTGGGGAGTGCTCCGCAGCAAGGCCAGAGGAGCCCACTGGCCAGAAGTAAGAATTGGCACCAGGCACTGGCTAGGGTGTAGCCAACTTGGACCCCCCAGGGGACACGGGTCGCAGTTTGTGTCAGGTCAGATACACGTCACCTCACATACCCAAATCCCTTTCTTGGTGTTCACCCAAGAGGCGCAGGTGGGTGTGCAGGGGAGTGTCCTGCTAGAGCAGCTGCGGCAGGCAGCCAGGAAGTGCAGGCCAAGGCCATCCACCAGCCCCTCTAGGCCTTGTCCACAGGCCAGAGGCCAGGGGCTGGCTATGGGGAAGGGGAAGACCCTGGAGGGTGCCCCAGGCCCCACTTGTAGGAAAGAGGCAACTGAAAGAGCGACTGAAAACAGCCAGCACAGGCCAGGGGAAGGCCTCCTGGGGCTCCCTGCCTCTGGCCTCCTGGTCACCTGACTCTGCCCTGGCCTGGTCCCTACAGGCGGGGCAGAGAGCAAAGTCCACTGCCTCGGGGCGTGGGATTTTCCCCCAGACCTGCCCTCCCACCTGTCCCTAGGGCAGCTCTCAAGTCCTTCTAAGACTGGGGTGTTGCCCTTCCTCCCTGCCCTTGGGCCCAAGGCCCAGGTGGGCACTGCCAGTCAGCGCCCAGCATAGCTGGAGGGCCCCTGGCTGCAGTCCATTCTTTGCATGCTGGGGGCAGACTCGCTCCACCCCATTACCACGCCAGGGCCAGGCCGGTGTAGACAAGGGGTGGAGGACAGCAGGTGTGCAAGAGGACGGCCAGTTGCACCCAGGTACACTGCTTCCTTCACCTGCTTCTACAAGGTGACTGCCAG